GGCTCCTTTTCCAGTACCCCTCCCTCCTGCAGGTCCTCCTCCGTCACAACTACCAGGGGCATCAAGGTACTTTGCTGATCGTCTACAAGAACGTCTCCCCCCTTCCCTCCTCCCCGACCTCCGCTGCCCCCTCCCTTCAGTTCCGCACATTCCAAGCCAGCCCGTCCTCCACCGTCCCCGGGCTGCTCCTTCAAGCTTCTCCGCTCCAAGTGTCGGTCTTGGGACCGGGAGAAGAAGCCTCGCAGACGGTGCGAGTGGTGTGTCTGGAGCCCTTTGATGCCTCGGGGGGGGGCATCGAGGTCCTGGTTGAGTTTGGGACGGAAGAGGAGGAGGACGGGACGAATGCGGTCCCTGTGCGGTATAGCTTACCTCTGCCCTTGCCTGTCTCGGTCCTGCATTTTGTGTGGGGCTTGCCCCTGCGTAAAGAGGACTTCCTGGCCCAGTGGGAGGCGATCACGGTTCCCCAAGTTCAAGATACCTTCTTGCCGACGAGGGAGGATGGGAAAGGGGAGGGACTGGAGGTGGGACCCTTGATTCGTCTGTTAACGAAACAATTCCATCTGCAAACGGTGCCGGAACTGTGTCAACGCTCGCGACAGGCGCAGACTTGGACGTTTGCGGGGAGCTTGGAGACGGGGTCCCTGTCCCCCCACGGCAAGCAGTTGCGCGTCCTGGTTCTGGTCCGACTGGAGCAGTACGAGGAAGGAGGAGAGCGGTGTGCGCGAGGTCGGAAGGGCTATCGCCTGACCGTGCGTTCTGAGCATCCGGCGTGTGCCATGGGCGTCTTCAAAGCAATCAAACTTCAATTGGGCGCGTGACAAGTGCCGCATTGTGTGTCATGTGGGGTTTAAGGAGAATAAATTTGTGCTACTTGAAAAATGCGTTCTTGGCGATGGGCAGGCTGAGGGAGCACGTCAACGAACGAAAATGCAGGAGAATTAATGAAATTTCTGAATTGACGAGCTCCCTTGCTATTTTTTTGGGGGGAAATCGATTCACAAAAGTCACCTAACAACACGGGTGGAGGCTGCAAAGGGATCGGTAAGATAGTTTTCAAATCCTTTGGACCCGGGTGGACAATGAAGTCTACTCTTTTCATTTGACTTCCCGTAGTACATTGGAAGGGGTAGGCCGGGCGTCGATGTGCACTCCAAAGCAGTTCTTCGAGCACGTAGAGGCATGGTGACTTCTTGATGATCTTCCACAGCCCCCAAAAAACGACCTTAGAGTATTTATTTTTTTACCGATGTGTATTTTTTTTCCTCGCAATGAATGGCACACCACCATGGCAGGAGGAAAATGGCCCATTTCGGTGTGCTATGGGGGATTAAGTCGAAGCGTCTTTGGGAAAAATGGCGAACCGTACATGCATCCAGGTAGACAGATGTGCTTCTACCATTTTTTTTCAGTAGTTACAAGAGATTTTCGTGCTTACTTTACCCATTTGTATTTCTCCTGCACCCAGCAGCAACCTTTTTTCCACAATGCAATGTAACCTCCTCCCTCGTCCACCGAAGGACGAGTTAAGGTCGGACGCCGTAGCGTCCTGTGTCAACACCCCAAAAAGCCAAATTCCTCTTTATGAATATATCAACATACCCTGATCGTAAAAACATGTCCAATCCCATCTGTCAACGTTGCACTGGAGAAGATCGAGCCGTAAAAGTGCAATTGGTTCGCGCAGAAAGAAGGAAGGAGTGGAGCGTTCCCTCGTTCCATCCAACGGATTTCTTGTGGTAACGGTTTAAGTGGATGCACTAGTCCACTACGCCCGCAAGCAAAAGCCCACGAACTTCCCATCCTCCCCTCCGCGTTCTCATGCGATGCCTGGTTGGGACGTGATGCTACCTAGTGCCAGCGAGGCATATTTCGGGAAACGCTGGCACGATGCATATTTGTGAAGATACCAGCCACGAGGTTTGACCCGTCCTCTCCGTGCTGTTATAGCTTGTTGGCCTGCTGGGGATGTCCCTCTACCAATGAAGGGCGTCACGCAATTTCGTGGGGACTAGTGATGTATCGCAAAGGGCATATGAAGTACACTTGTCCACGGAAAGCCGTTGCGTGGCGGAATGGAGCCGTAAACAAGAGTGGCGTGTATGCCAAAAGATTCCACAACGACGAGTCCCGGTACGATCGGACCTTCTGACCATGCTGCACTCATTTCCCAGCTAGCTTCCATGACCAACGCATACGGTGAGTGCCAGGGACGTAGGAGATGAAATTGAAATGATTTAATTTTCAAATGGCTGAGTGAAAGGTAATGTACATGCGAGATATATATTGGTGCCGCGGAGGAGAGGATTACCGTGCTGAGCACCTTCCCCCATGCACCCCCCTGCCATGCACATACCTCGGAAGCCCCGTCTCCTCTTACCTCCAGTCTACATGCAAAGGACAGTCTTGAGCGGTTCCTTGATGCGGGGCCTGACTCTCGCACGCAAGGATGACAAAGCGGTAGCCAAGGCGTGCTTCATTAAGAGGAGTCAGGGTCCGGTCAAAGCGTAAGCCAAATGTATGGGCCGTCGTCCTCGTCCCGGCCCCGGACCACTTGCACCACAAAGGCCCTCCAACGCATTGCTTCAGACCCGCCCTCCCTCCCGCTCTTTAAACGAGGTAGACATTCCCCTCTAACGACATACTCTTGGACCCATGTCAGCCCCGGCCTTCCCACTTCTTTTGATCCCGCTCCCTACGAAGGGGCTGCTAAGACTTGGATAAAAGACGGTATTGCATGGAAGAGGGACCACCTGAGCTGGTACCATGTTGCGTGGCTCGAAGAGTCAATTTTATCTTCCAAGCTGTGAAGTTCTTTCTTGGCGCCAGTGTTGATGAAGAAAAAGAGCAAAAAAGATACTGCAGAGGTAACAGAGGAACAAGCGGAATCTGCAGCGATGGAGGTTGAGAGATGTGACATCACGGTGTAAGACAGAGGCTGAAGTTATCCACAGGGGATGGCGTCAGAAGTCAGGGCAGGCTTGTTCAAACCCAGGCGTATGCCCGTTGATAAAATGACGGGAAAAAAAACGAGTTGGATGACATGCATACTGTAGGGGACAATAATGAGATCCACGTCGTAAATAAAATGAATTGCACTGTCAAATGTTGAAGGTGTCGACGGCATCCGAAATTTCTTGTCCAGTGCGGGAGAGGAAAGAGGAGAAGTAGCCACGTGCTAGCCATCGCTCCTTGGAATATTCTTCTGTTCTTTCACCTTTCTTTTTGGGCCTTGTTCTTCTCTAGCCTTTGTCATCGCCTCGCCAGAAAGACTTGTGGTGGTGTGGCACACTGGCAGGAGACTTCTTGTCCATCGTGTGGAGCAACTTAGTATCTCCCCCCCTTCTGTCCGTTCCTTGAATCCCCCTTGGCTGTATTCATCCATGCAAAAAATGTATATCATTAATCGACGTGAGACTTGCAGGGAGTACAGAAACTTTCGAGCAGTCCGTAGATAAATGTCTGCATGGGCACGTAAGCTCTTTTTTGGCCCATTGAAAGTATCTTAACCCCCCTTGAAAGATCAGCGAATGTCCCGCGGCGCAACATGTGAATGGAAAGGACCAAAATTCCGTCTGAATAGTAAGATCTATCTTGAAATGATATTTGGAAAATAATATGAATGCATACTAATGTATCTCCTCATAAATATTTTTTAACTTTACATTCTAAAATCTCTTCCTCTTTCCTCTCTACCCCCCCTAAGCTTTAATATGTTCACCGACATCTACGGCGTACGCCCTAGCCTCCCGCGTCGTTTTGCGCTGCCTTTGGGATATGCATATGTGTCAAAGGGTACTTGTCTGGTTTGCCGGCAGCATCAGCGTTTATGGGATACCCGACAGGATGTCCTCCGTGATGCTAGGGCTCCGAAGCGGCCCATCCTGCCTGACCCCCTCCGTCCCTCTGCCTTGGTGGAGCCCCATTTCGATACAGCCTTCCTTCACACTGTGTATATTAAGCATAGAAAGAGGGAGGTACTGAGCTGGAGGGAGCGGACCCATTTGGAACTTGCCATCTGGTGCTGTGCTCCCAGGAAGCTTTTTCCTAGCGGAATCCACAACCCCCGAGACCCCCTGCTGCCATTGTACGGTTGTCGATGTGCATACGTGGCTGATATTCGAGGGAGCTTAAGGATGTCGGCAAAGGAGGCAGCAGAGGCCGCTGCAGCCATGGCAACCGCTAGGGTCGTTCCGGGGATATGCGTCCCATCGTCCCATGGTAGCTCCCAGCCGTCGGTCGTTGCCCCGCCACTTTCCCTTGACGAGGGTGCGGATTTTTCGGAGACTTTGTCAGCCCTGTTTGATAGGAAAACATGTTCACCGAGCAAGTGGCAATGGCATGAACGACAGGAACCACCCAGCGGCGCCGGTCAGATTGTGTCGACAAGATTAGACGAGGATGCCTCTGAGCCGAACGTGGTCCGCCCAGTGTCGGAAAGCGCGGTCATCCTGTCCACAGAGAAGGGAGGGCTAGTGATCCCCTCCTTGGAGCTGCCACGTGAGGAAGGGATGAAAGTACCTGGGACTACCTGGGCTGTTGGAAAGGCGGCAGTGGCCTCTGATCCCTCCTCTGCCAAAAAGTTTAGATTTCGTCTTATGTCGGCCATTTATGCATATTGGCAACCGTTTTATGGCAGTAACCAGCCTCGGGAACCGGAGATTGCACTGGAGGACAATTCTCTCGGTGCACTGCCAGATAAGGCTACCGGAGCTCCTTCTCGCTTCGCTTATTTGCGCACTGCCATTTCCTCGATAGTCGGTTCCAAGGGCTTCTCCGTACTCGGAGCCCTTGTAACCCGTGCAACGGAGCTTCTTGCCGCGGTATTTTAGCAGCAAAGGCGTTCGATCTTAAATGTTTTTGCTCCTGATAATGCTCTGATAATGCGGCTACTGGTTGTCGCTACAGCACGGAATTCAGAAGCCCTGTTGCGCGGGTTCGTAGGGCTTCGAGTACAGAAAAGACCTTGGACCCGACAATCGAGGCCGTGCGCAAATAAGAGATATGTATATGGACAGTACCAGTACCCATTTGATACACTGTAATTTCTCAACGAATACATGTTATTTTGAAAGAGGCCATGGAAGCAAAGAAACTTGTCGTAACTGGTTTGTATACTGACCAGAAAATACTTCACTACACGGGTTAGGAGAAGTTTGAGCATCCAAAAAAGTAAGCGGATAGCAGGTTACGAGAATCGATTTCATCCCCCTTACGTGCTACTTTTTGTTTATTAAAGGTAAACCATGCCTTCATACTTCTTCATGTTCTGACAATTGATTAAAATGGCATACGACTCAGCACAGCTCGAAGATACCATCCAATCCATGGGCCACAGCAAAAAATCAAATCGTCAAATACGAGGCTAAAGGTCCCACACATGTGGCTCCCGGCATAATTTTAAATACAGGCAAGCTGTAAAGGCACAATTCTTCAACAGAAAAAGAGAAATGAAATCAAAACCTTCCTTGAAAGGGCGGTGTATTTTACTGATTGAGGGAGCTACTTGGCGCCGGAATGGACTCGCCAACTTTTTGGAACTTAAAAATTCGCCTAATGATGGAGGCAAACATTCATCCCATTGCCGGTCCTGATACCATCAGCCCGCGTTTATCATTCACAGGTTCTGAGGCGCAAATTGGTACATGTTTCTCGACGTTATTCTATTAGTTTAAGAAAGAGTACCTTTTCTTGTACCAACACAGGTCATGAATGAATCGTCGCTGAAGGAGACCACTTGTTCCATACCGACAAGGTTGCGTCCCATTTCCAGTATGCGCGTGTATTTTCCTTCGCCGTAAATCTCGAGGGTACTAAAATTTAAATCTCGAGACTGAGGCAGTGCTGCTGTGCCTTCGAAAAATATGGGAATACAAGGATTGCTCCAAGCCCTGGCACCTGTCACACGAGCTAACGTCTCTTTGGAGGAATACCGCGGAAAGACCTTGGCCATCGATG